TCTTTGAACTATAGATATACAATACACTGTCTATCATATATGCTATGTCCTACCATACCAAAAATAGAGGACACATGAACTTGTGAAATGACACCACAGAGATGCGATTAGCAGAATAGACTGTGGCAATTTCTGCGACAAATAATGGTGCCAAAGTAAATGGCAAGAAAATACATTACAAGGGACTATAAATGTGTGGATATTATTTGAATCCTGATTTAAACAAATAAACCCCCAAATCATGAGACAATTGGAAACTTGAACCCTGACTGGCTATTTAACGATACCAAGGAATCATTGGGGTGTTTTTATCAAAGATAATGATATGCTCATGTTTTTTATTTTTATTTTTAAAAGCAACCTATCAGGAAATTTTGTTTCAGATAAAGAACAAAAGGATTTATGAAAGTGAAAAAGGAAGATATGCTAGGGACCCCACCCACCACCAGCAAGTTTGCTGAAGGGTATCTATAGAATAACAACAGATGTCCTAGGAAAAAAATGCAAATCTTTATTCTCTCTCAAGATTCTAAGGCTATTCATAACCTGTTCAACTATTTTCTGTCATCACCAGAGTTCCTCTGGTGAATTACAGCCTTCTATCCACTTTGGGACCATCCATTACAAGATGCAACCAGCAGCCAAGATGCACTTGGCTCATCTCACTAAGTGTTTTCATAAGCAGATTTATAATGAGAAGAAAATGCTTTCTTATCAATAGCAAGCAAAGCTACAGAGAACTCCCCCAAATTATTAGGGGTTGTTACAGGGACAATTTGCTGATCCTTCCTCCAACCACACTGTAAAACAGCCCCCAACCCTGCTAGCTTTTTAAAATCTACTAAACAATGTGAAGCCACCATTTCATTTTTTTCTTTCTGGCTAGAGATGGTGGAAATGTTCATCACCCAGTGTGAAGTAATATGTGAAACAGGTGTTTTATTCCCTAGCAGGTAAAATGGGTTTGATTCCTGTGAGATGTAGACATTTCAAGGCTACCAGCAAGAGGTCCAGATGGTGTGTATTTTCATATCTAATATTATATAAAAGATTTCAAATGTATCCTGACTCTTAACAAAACCATAAATTCACTGCTTATTGCCATGTTGAACAGCTCTAGTAGCTACTAATTAGTATCACTGTTTTTGTTTTGCTCTTCCAGGGATCACTAGCATATCTAAGCCTTTTCATTTTTAGCTTCTGGTAAAAAGACAAAGAATTCCAGGGTAGGAGCGCATCTCACTTAAGGGCCAGCTGCATGTAGAACATTAGAACTTTAGGGGATATAAAAAATGTTTATGGAGCCACAGGTGGAAACATGGGTTAAGCCTTTTACAGAAAAGCTCTTTCAAGATTGAGGACAGATGCCTTTGGCTTTCCCTAGTCATTCTCTGTTTGGTTATGTCACTATTCCAGAAATGTTGTCAATCATCTTTCAAGGATAATGACACCAGTAGCAAGCCTTGTCACGAGTTTATTATGAACCAGGCCTTTTTCAGATTATACTACCTACACCCTCTCATTCAGTATTCCCGATCACCCTTGGAGACAGAAGTATTAGCTCTGCTACAGATACGACAGCAGAGTTTTAGAAAGTTCCAGCCACTTATTCAAGAGCCAACGCAGACCTCATGAGTAGCAGAGCCTTCATTCTTAACAAGAACACAGGGCTTCCTCTTTTTCTCATAGCACGGTAGCCCAGAAGGCACTGTGAATCTTATATCGGAAAGAGTCCTGCAGGATATGTGAATAAGCCATTTTGAAGGAAGGAAGTCAAGTCAGCAATACACTAACTTAGTGTTGTTCCCATTCGAGGAATCATCTGTCTAGGATGCATGAGGGGCAGCCCATGCTTCTTAAAAGCCAGAAGCAGTGTGTAGCCTCCTGACCTGTTTCTCTGCCTCCCACTCTTTTATGCCAATCACTGTATCAACTACAGCTCTGTGAAAAGAGCACTCTGCTTCTACATACGAATATTTATTTAATGTGCTCTACTGAGTGCCTGGCAAGGGAGAGAAACGTGGGAGCTAATACAGTACTTCAGAGAAAATCTCACATTGCTCATATTATAAACCAGTTCCTCTTGTTCTCTGCTGAGAAGAATCAACGTAATTGCCTTCTCAGACCTAGATCCCCCAAGGTTTAAACTTCCACTAACACTAGTCTGTGCAAATATCCCTCATTAGTTCATCCTCAAAACCTAGGCAGGAAGAAAGTAACACTGAAAGAATCTGGGCTGCTGTTCTCGACCTTCGGTTTGGCCATAAAATTGTCTTTGTGATTTTCCAGCCAGCCCTCTCATCTCAGGGGAGTCCAGTGCTCTCATCTCCAGAAGTCTTTGTGTAAGATAATGCTTCAGAGTTCCTATTTCTTGAAAGGGCAATACCTTAATGCCCATTCTTATGCTCTGGCCATAGCTTGGATGAGTGGGGACTCCCCGATGAGTAAATGATTATTTTGTTTAGATGGGGCATGATTGATTGCATAGAAACTCTAACATAAGAATTCTAAAACCCATTATACAGAAATTTAAATGTGGGTATAATTTGCCTGATCTTACAGATGATTCTCACAAGGAGAATTTTAAAGAAATATGATAATATTTCTGGTAAGTTCTGTGGAATGAAGTTCATTGTTTCATCACGCTATTTGATCCCTCCCTTGTTGTAGAAGTGTTGATGTCTTAACTTTATAGAGAGCCAAGAGAGCACTGTGTACAAACTTAAAGCCCTCAATTTCTAACATTTATAATGACTTTTGCAGACATAGATTGCTTGACTTTAATTTATCTCTTCGGTCTGTTTTTTTTTTTTTTTCATAATTGAGAAAGATTTTGACCAATGGGGTTTAAACAGATTTTCTTCTTCCATGCTCAACTGCTGCATGAAGGAAGCCCTGTCTTGCCTTTCTGTTCAGGTGTGATGTGCAAAAAGTCAGCTATAAAAGAAAGGGAGGAATAAATGCAAGTTACCTTCCTCACAGAACAAGCAATCTCTCCAAATCCAAACCCCAGAGTGTGGCTCCGGATTCCAATTCCATTTCTCAATGATATGTGTTTTGTGTCATCTCTTCTCCCCCTTTATTCCTGCAATATTTGCATTTCGTGTTCTTACTCTCTTAATGCCTGAGCAATTTGAAACTCTCATACTTAGGCAATTCCCAGATCTCATTCCTAAAGCATTGTGATTCCCTTTCAGCTTTTCAGAGGCATGTGTGCTGGGGAAGGCACCGAGTCCTCCCTGTCAATCCAATTTGTGATAAGAATTTCCCCCAGGTGCCTCCATTCCATGGTCTCTGTGTTGCTTTGTGCCTGGTTGGCATCCTTTGGGGAAGCATTTGTATTGCTTTTTCATCTCAAAAAAGATACTCTAGTCACAAACCAGTCATCTGCCTGTTAAGCTGTATTTAGAACAAATCACTCTGAAGCAAAACAACGACGACGACAACAAAAGAGCTACGCTTATTTCTTTCTAGACTTTTAACAAAATGTTTGATGTTACGGAGATTTCCAAACAATTATTGTGAAATTGGGGACTGTTGTTCACATGATTTATTTACCATATATAGAGAGCTCAGCTGGAGAGCTGCTGTCAATGATACTCCTGGTGAAGTTTTAGTGGAGAGTTGGAAAATTGGTGAACCTTTTCTGAAGAGGCAGAACACTTTCAAAGGATAAGAGTTCGCAGGAGTCATGTGCTTAAAAGTCACAAGATACAGGAAAACCTACCCCACTCCACCAAAGGGTGCACCCTTGCTTTGAACATTTGGTTTCATACTCAGAACTGGTCAGTTATTCAAAGAAGGGAATCCCTGGTACATTGAGGAATTGCTTAGTGCTTTTCACAGCTTTCTGTGTCATAGGCAAGGGGCATATATTTCTGTACATATGTTCAAACACAAAACAGGGGAAAGAGAATGTGTAACAGCACATTTCATAAAAGTCAAATCCCAGACCCCAAAAATCCAAAACTCTCATAAAACTTTACACATGAGAAGTGGTACACTCAAAAAGAGTGCAACCCTATTCTCTTGAACAGTTTTTCTGTCTCTCAGTGCAGGTCCCAGGACATCCGCCAGTTTCCATTCTACAGAGTAGTGCAAAAGGAGGCCAGAAATAAAAAGGAGCAGTGGGACTGTACAAAATAATAAAAATGAAATAGAGAAGGTGTGAAGTTAGATATTTGATTTATGTGTGGAAAACCAGTGCTGAGAATATTGTTATGGGCCTGGCTCCTGGAGGCAAGATTTGTTAGCAAAACCTGTCTCTAAATATTTATGCTCAACTAAATAATTGCTAAATAATTTCAGTTCTCAGCTGAAAATATAGACTCAGGCCTGGCCTAAATTAGCAGACCCATGAGACGGTATATTGGTATTTTACGCAGTGGTACTCTTGCTCAGTGATACTTTTAACTTTCAGCATATAATTAATATTCTTTTATAAAAGTCTTTCATGCCCCACATAGGAAGGATTCCTCTGTAAATATTTCCCTAAAATAAACGAAGCACTTAAAGGAGTCCATTCAATAACATTTGCTTTAGGATTAGTGAAGAAATATGGAGTGTTGGCTTTTGCACAATGTGCCAAGGTGAATTCTTTCATTTGCTGGCCTTTGAATGTGAGGTACAGTGTGAAAAGCGGGGGAGGTAAGGGCTTGCTTCATCACCTTGGATGTGAACTTCCTGAGAATCAGCACATGTTTCCAACATTCTTTTTATGGTCATGCCTGGTGCTTAGTGAACCCAAGATTAAAAGCAGAACTCTAATCTACAGAGACGCTAGAAGAAAATATTTTGAATGAACCCAGAGACATAGAAGAAGCATCATTATTTAATTCAACTACCAGAGAAACATCCATAAAATTCCCACATTCTTCTCATATCAGAACAGGAATTATTGTAGATGTTTTTTAACCAAAAACCAAAATAGTCTAAATTCAAAAGGAGTTGCTTGAAATGGAAACCTGGGCTTATATTTCTCATTTTTTTTCCTCTCCTAGACCTATATCATACAACGAGACCTGGAGTCTAGAGCAGATGCTGCCACACCAAAGTTATATGGTAAGTCATTTCCCTGCTTTGAGCTGCAGTTTTCTCATCTGAGAGTGGGAAAGTGGATGTGAGCCTTTCCAGGTAGCTCTACCCTGCAGCTATTCATCTCTGACTTTAAAAAACCATGATCCCCAAACAGAGAATAAGAGAGAGGAAGCAACTGACAAAAGAAATCATTTCAGTGGAAGAATTGAAGGGGTTGAAATAAATATTTTTTATAGTGGAGAAAAGGAAACCTGGCTGTGACTTTTTGTTACTGTTCCCTGACCATGGCTTTCTGAAACAATGTATTAATATTACCAAAAGACATTTTGAAGAAAGGAAATTATTTATCTAAAGCTAATCACATATGTATATTTCCCCAAGAGTACATATGTGCACATGCCCACGCACTTGTGTTTTAAGAAGACTAAGAAATGGAGAGGGTTTCTTTTTTTGTTTTTGTTTTTTTTTTCCTTTTCATACCAGACAGAGATATGAGATGGGGCTTTGCAATCTAACACAGATCTATTTTGTCCGCTATGCAGAAATAACATCATGTGCATTTAGAAAGCTCTGGATCTGTTTAAATCAATTAAAGTAAAGTTAATGTATTTTGATATCTGAGCTCTTCCCTTATTGAGGTAACTCTGCAGTGTTTTCTTCTCGGAGCTCAAGGTGATGAAAAATAGACTTATTTACTCTATTACATCTTACAATGCTGGCGTCAACATTTTTCTTCTTTAGTTCTGTGAAGCCATGAGATAACTCCATGTGGCTCTGAAACTGCTGCGAGCCCTCGTGCCACCTTACTCAAGGGTATTTTTCCTGTTCAAGCTGCTGTTGTTTTCAATCTGGAGATAAACACACACTTGATAAAACTATTTTAATGATGCTAATATTAATACTTTTGTAGAATCCTTTATCTGCTAGTAATAGCTTTAAAGAGTTTTCTGAGACTTTGTCATCTCATGCATTTTAATGGAATATCAGGTTTATAATTAACAAGAAAAATATAGTAGCTCCACCTCTTATGTCTCTCACATTCATATAATGATTACCAGTGGAATATTTGCTATTTTATACCCTTTGTAGGCCAATCAATATTTTGGTGAATGGAAAAGTCTTAAGCAGAGAATTGTAGTGTAAATAAATGTGAAACATTAAAAGTATGCTAAATATTATAGCCAGTTGATTATGTAAATTTAAACAGTGTAGGAGAAAGGAATTGCTTATTAAATTAGTCTGTTTTTAGTTCACTCTGGCATTGTTTATTATACACCATAGCCAGATATTTCATAAATAGACTCCTTTTACAACCTGGAGGTTTGGGGAAAGCCAGCTGAGTAATGAAATGGCTTATGGTCTTGGAGCTGTGATGGAGAGAATTTATCTTATTATAATTTCCATTGTGCAGCTCAGGCCATCAGAGAGAAAGAGAGAGAGGGAGAAAAAGAGGGAGGTGAGGGAGAGGGAGAGAGAGAGAGAGAGAGAAAGAGAGAGAGCGAGAGAACTCTGATAGACATTTCATACCAACATTAGTACCTGTTACATCAATCTGTGAATTGGTTGATTTTTATCTATATCCTGCTACTGATCTTCATAAAAACAGTAGACTAAAGTTTTCTATTAAGAATTCAATGAATCAATTTCAGTCAGAATAGATTTGAGTATCCAACTGTGGGAGTATCTACAGTTTGTGACTCAAGAGTTTGGGAATTCCTAAACAGTTCTCCAAGTGACTCAGTGACATGGGGACAGCTTGGAATAATGGATTTGAAATTCAGTTACAATCTAGGAGAGAGACATCTGGTCTAGTGTTCTGGATTCTATTTGAGAACATATTGTGGAAAAAGAATAACCAAAGAATAAAATGTTGGCATTTCTGTGTCTTGGAAGCCAAGAAGGATGGCCCCATTAGGCTATTGGAAAAATTCAGCTTCCACATAGGTAAATCCTAATTTTGAAGGCTTCTCTATCTACCCAAATCTGATGCTCTTAAATTAACTCATTCCATTTTTTCAATTTCTCCAGTTTTCTAGTAATTTTGGTGTTCACTAAGTATTCACTCTTGGGCTTCTCTACTTAGAGTGCATTCCAGCCAATGACCTGGTCCCTACAGAGCCCCAAAACTCCTTCCCATCCTTGTAAGAATAGGAATTTATCTGCTTTTCAAAGTCCTGGCTCTATGTTCTTTGCACTTTGTTTCCATAGGCACTCTTCCTGCATCTTTTCCCCCTTCCCATTGGCCTACAGCACGGCTCCTTTTACTTCATACGAAAAGACAGTTTTCTCTTTGTACCTCTACTCTTGTGCTACTGATTTCTCCTTTTCTTCAACAGCTCAAACACTTGAGAAAGCATTCCACTGCTCACTGCCTATATGTTTTGGTTTTGGTGCCCACCATCTCATGGAATTCACAATGTTGATGGTCCTCAGTGACATTTTTGATAGCAAGTACAGTGGCCTTTTCTCTATTTGAATCTGCTTTCATTATTCTGTCGCATGTGAGTCAACAGACCACATCCCATTCCTGAGATTCTGCCCTTCCTTGACATTCAGGATACTGTGCCCTCTCATTCTTTATTCCCTGATGGATGCCTTTATGGTTCCTTTGTTTGTCTTTTCAAAAGTAATTCAGGTGTACACATGCGTCATATATATTACCCAGAACTTTAATGGGTTAAATATGTGGTCATTGTCATTTTACAGATGCAGGAATGAAGACTGAGAAAATTTAAATAACTTTCCTTGCCTTGGGATTCTCTCCTACTCCACTAGTAAATATGGTGATGTCCAAGGGTTGGTTTTAAGCCTCTTTTATTTCCTATCCACCTGCTCAGCACTGATGATTTCTTCCAGTTTTGTGGATTTACATACCACCTGTTGGATGATCAATCTCAAATTCATAGCCTGCCTTGATTTTTCTGCTGGCTCCAGATTTATCCATCCAACTTTCTATTTTTCAACATCCTGGTAAAGATGCTAAATTGGCATTTTAAAGTTAACACAGACAAATGAGAAATAGCTTAACTTACATCAAGTTCACCCTTCAATTATCTTCCTAGCCTCCGTAAATGGCACCATCATCCCGCTCAGTCGCTCAATGAAGAAATTCAGAGGTCATCACTGATTTCTCCCTCTTGCTCCTTCCCAACACCTAATCCACCATCAAGCCCACTCATCTTCCCTCCAAATTGTGTTTCAAGCCCAACTTAATTTCTAATTCCATTGCCATGATTCCATTCCATTTGCCTTCCTATGTTGCCTTTGAACAAGTCTCCCCTTACACTCTGGCCCCTCCAATCTGTTCCCCGTCTAGTAGTCTGCATTTTAACACATGAGTCAGAACATGTCATTTCCTTTCATCCCCTTAAGACTTCCCAAGAAACTCGGTATACCGCCCCAATTCTCCAGCTTCATTGCCCTTTGTTTCCCTTATTACATACTTCTGATTCTTTCTGGGCACTTTTGTATACGCTAATCCTTGACTTTGACACAGCTTTTATAGTTAAATTCTTTGATTTTCAGTTCAAATATAATTTTGCCACATATGTACAACTTTGGTCACCTCATAAGAAGTGGCCAACCCAGGCCCCAAATTACCACTTTCATATTACCCTACTAATTTCCTTCACAGCCTGAAAGTGTTTTCTTTACTTAATTACTTATAATTTGGCCTCTGTCTCCACTCTCATGCATAACACTGAGAGAACTTTCTTGCCATGGGGGCAGGGTTCTTCATCTAGTATACTCACTATTGTATCCCAGTGCTTACAAAAGTGCTGAACCAAGAGTTGTTGGGGTGGGGGCAGGGGGAAGTAAAAAGAAAGTGCGTTCTGTGCGTGTACTAATGAATGAACAATTTACAACAAATGTATTCATTATGCATCACAAACATGAACTACTCCTACTAGTAATACATACCTGAAACATGGAAGATGTTCAACAGTATTTATTTAATGAATAGATGAATGAATGAGTGAGTGATTTCTGACTTGGATAAAATACTGGGAGAAAAAGAGGATTATTATTCATTGTAGTATGCCTTGTAGGTAATGTGACTTTCCCACAAAAAAACGTGTGTGGACTATGTATGGCATTCCTGAGGTCTTAATTAGGATTCTAAAAGGAAGACCTAACATTGTAAATAAATTCTTGACCATATTGAAAGCATGCTTGATTCTTCTGCTGTGTTTTGTTAACCAGTGGTACGATTATGCTATCTATGGTGTTATCATACGTAATTAATGAATTAATCAATTTACTTAATTCACAGGCATAAAGATATTCTGTTTTCTAATGTTGTCTACTAATTATGCAGTAAATCAAGGCTTTGAAGAGTTTCAACAACCATTCATTTTTTATGAATTAATCTTTCTTTGGCTTTCTTCTCTAGGGGTAAGCAAATAATGCAAACACAGACCCAGGGATACACGAAGTCTGAAGGTTAAGGGCATACAGAAGATGTCACTGAATATAAAAATATATAGGGAATGAATTTGCAAAGGGTATTCTAATGTCTCTGGCATAGCCAGGGCCAGTCTGTGCCAAGACTAGGAAAGACCTTGTGGTGAAAGGGTAAGTAAGTATCATGATCTTGCTTTCTTAAAGAAAGGTGTCAAATTAAATGTGCAATCCATAAAAAGATAATAAAAATATATAAGCAGTAAAAATGACAAAAACCAGAATATATAGCAGATGTACAGCTTTGCCCATTTGGATACTAATGCCTACCTAGGAATAACTACCAAATACTAGCACTGTTGCTTTGCTACCATTTTTTGAGAACCTACTATGTGTCATAACAATACTATTTATGTACACAGTTCTATTTGATCAACTCTGTTCATCAGATGATGATGTGATGGATGTTAATTTCTATGTGATGGGTGTTAATGTCTCCATTTTGAAGATGATAAAATAAGCTTAGTTTATATTCATGGTTTGTGAATGGTGGAGTTGCAGTCTAGCCTCAAATAAATTTGACTTCAAAATACGTGCTCTTGAAAAGAAAAAAATTTAAAGTCTGATATTGTCTTTGGCATCCAAATATAGACATGTGGGAGTTTCTGCATATGAGGAATATGATTCCATTTTGAGTATGACTTTATAAAGTTATTTCTCTTTTATCATCCTATTATTTTTAGCATTCGCTGTCTAGAGAAAATGAAATGCATGTCACTCGAGGGCATAAACCATGTTAGATGTGATACAACATAGAATGGCGGGGTCTGTGGCAAAATAAAAAACAAATGTCTAACCAAAGGATTTAAAATTCATTTTAAGATGCTGTTATAAATTCAGCTGTGTCTTCAGATAGGTGTAGTGCTTCATGCCTGTAATCCCAGCACTTGTGAGGCTAAGGCAAGAGGATCACCGTAGTTCAAGGCCAGCCTGGGCTACATAATGAAATCTGTTTTTCTTTTTAAAAAAACATTGTGTCTCCAAAAATGAGATACTTTGAAGCCCTAACCCCTAGTACTCAGCATGACAGCTTATTTGGGAGTAAGTTTCCCGCAGATATAAATTAAAAAATAGGTCATACAAGAATACAGTGGGTCCCTATTCCAATATGGCTGGTTCATTTATAAAAGAAGAAACTCAGGTAGGGACCCAAGAAGAATACCATTTGGAGACAGAGGATTGGAGTAATGCATCTATAAGCCAAAATATGCCAATTTCTGCCAACAAACAACCAAAAGAAAAGAATATGTAAGGAAAAATTCCTTAAAGGTTCAGAGGGAGGGAACACAGCTCTTGTTGATATCTTGAGTTTGCACTCTTAGCCTCCAGAACTAATTATTTTATTCTATCCATTTAAAGGACTCTCTCTGTTCTACATGGGTATATTGTGCAGTATTGATGAGAACTAACCAAAACTGTTGACACAATGATCTACACAACAAATATAATCATTGAATGTGAATAAATCAAAGCAAACTAAGGCATGGTTCTGAATTTCTCTGATTTTAAATAACAAACTATAAAGCATTTAGTATGTTTTAGATAATATCCAAGAGTTTTCTATTAACTCATTCCTGTCTTCATACATTTATTTATTAGAAATTGCTACTAACACCTCCATTTTATATGGGGGAAATTAAGAAATACAGAGAGTAAGTGGCACCCATGGTCACAGAGCTCATGAGTACCAGAGTTGGGCTCAAACCCAGGGGTCTGGTACTGGAGTTCAAGGTATCTGCCATTATGAGATTCTGCCCACCGAAGTCAGGGGAGACTACGATTGCAGTCTTTTCCATGAGGGCGGTCACCCCACAGGGAGGAGCCACAGCAGTTCTGGGAGTGATCCTTCCTCAACCCGAGGGTTCTTCACGCCCCCTAGAAGGGCAGAGGTGGGAGGAAGTAGACAAGTCAAGCAGCGTTTCACCCTCTGAGTCTTTACATTCCTTTCCCTGCATTTGTGGCTTTTAAGCTTGAACATGCATCAGGATCTCGCCAAGGGCTAACTTAAAACCCTTCTTGGGCCACAACCCTCGAGTCTCTGATTCAGTGGATTGGGATGGAACCCCAGACTCTTCATGTCTCAGAAATTCCTGAAGAGTGTTGACGCTCTCGATCAGGGAACCACACTTTGAGAACCGCTGCTCTAAATTATATCACAGGATTCCCAGCCTTTCATTTTAAATTACTGAGGAAAGCTTTCAGTCTATGCTTGCATTCACCAGTCTAAGGAGCTCTGAGAGCGACAGCTGTCTCAGCCAATACACTGATCAGAATTCAGACCAATCAATGTTTTTATTCGAAATCTATTTTCATAAATTGGCCATAGATTTTTATTATATACATTACCAAATTTCTGCAACTTTTGTATTTGCTCTAACTGTAAATTTCTCACATTGGTCTAGTGGAGAACAGATGCGGGATACGCTATGTCAGGAGTCGGATCACTACCTAATCTTCACTCAGAGGCCTTTATGTAGATGTGAATGAATTCAATCAGAAATCAATCTGAATCTGAATGATAGTTCAGCAGCCTGGTGAAACATACTCTGAGCTTTGTCTTTTGGAGATGTTAAGCCTTATGTATATGAGACACATTTTTTTTTCATGATGGTCAGTACGGTCTGAATTTTATTTGGGGATATGAGGCAAGAGTTGACACACTTAAATTTGCCACCCTCTCACCTTCAAGGTGGCCAATGCTAACTTACTCCAGTCCCAGAATTTCTTATATCTTTTGTTTTGTGGAACAGAAACTGTATTCGAGTTTTGTTTCCAACTAGCATTTGATGCCAAGCATCTAGAGACAATAACTTAATTGTTTTGCCATTGTATCCTTTTCCTAATTACCAGTATCCAAAAGACACAGTTTTCTGATGATAGAAGCTCTTCCGACTCCATGTTCCAATTTCTGTATCAGGGCTCTGTGGTTGCAAGCAAAAGATACTAAAACAAAAGACTGAATGGTCTTACTAAATGGATATGAGATAGTCCTTCAAATTGGAGAAAAAGCCAGAACAACTCTGGATGGCTAGGTAGCAGAAATCAACGGGCAGTCTCTCTAGGTACATACATGGTTACAATACATGACCTGAATTTTCAGTTGAAGACTAAAGCACAATATTCACATTCCAGTAAGAATGTGAATTGGTCATGTGCCCACTCTTTTGCCAGGAGAAGGTGGGCCATGTTGATGATCAGCCTCATCAAGATTGTGCTCAATACCATATCCAGAAAAGGAGAAAAAGATAATGGGCAAGTAAAAGCAGACTGTCTACTCCACTCTTGAAACCCAGTTTACACAATGATGTTTCATTGTGTACCTCTCTGGTGCACGTGAACAAGGTTTTTAAGTTATGACAAGTTTGCATATTTAGAGGATCTTTATTTTACAAAAAAAAATTGACTGCAGGTGAATCTGTTTTCAGGGTTGTCTTTGTTCTTATTTTGGCTATAGTCAGTACAAGATGATATGCACCTTCTTGATAAATCACAGCATCTTTTTAAGGACAGCAAAATGAAGAAGACAGAAGTGGGTTTTAATATCCAGGAGTATAATAGTGTAAATCTCCTTTAAACTTAAACCATATGTGCTTACAGAGCAGTTGAAAATAAGTCTGAAAGGCATTAATAGCCTTGACTAAATAGAAACAGACATCAAGCTAAGCACACAAATCGCCAGAAAACCAATGGGATGATAGAGAAGCACAATAAATACAATCAAAAAGACTCAATCAAATGTAGAATGCAGCACATCAAAGGTAAAACCTTTACCTATTATTAATTATGACAGTAATTTCTATCTCATAACATTCTACATAGCAACTGTAACCAAGACCATCTGCATTTTAAACTGAAGGTGCCTCATATGCTAACGGGAAGTAGGATGTAAGTACATATTCTAGCAGCAAGGGAACACGATTGAGCAACATCCAGGCATTCCTGCAAACCACCACTTGTCGTATTTGATACTGGAAAAGTATCATCCTCTCTATTATGTGGTAGCATGTAATTCTGAAAGGAGTTTGAAAAAGGAAGGCCCAGTAGTTTAGGATCTAGGCTTCTTTGTCACCTATTTGAACAAATGCCATTAAAAATAATGCCCTCTTTTCATAAGTACCACTCAACCAAAGTGTAAATACTATCAAATATCTTTCATCTAGAAATAAGTGAACAAAAGCAGAATCAGGTATGGCTAAGAATTCTCTGTAGGTAGGATGTATTTTGTGTGTGTGCACTGGGGACTTGCACTGAGCTATATCTTTCACCCATTTTAAAATTTTTTATTATGACACAGGGCTTGCTAAATCAGTAGATTGCCCAGACTGGATTTGAACTTGTGGGCCCCCTGCCTCAGTCTTGCAGAATGCTAGAATTACAGATATGCACCACTTAAGCATTTTATTTTAAATTAATCTTGTGATTTCTCTCATGTCTGCTAGATCAAAATCTGCTTTCCAGGATTCCCTTGTTTCCATTCATATGAACCTGTAGAATCCTCATGCCTGCTTTCCATATCTTTATGTTATGACAACCCTGTGCACTAGACAAGTTGAGGCCTCTTTCTTAATCTCATTAAAGCAAATGTTGAGTTAGTCATATGAAAACTCTTAATAATTGAGCTAGTTTTCCCTGATAAACCATTAATTGGTGCTTACTTTGGGTATTCAGGTCAACTCCAGTTTCTTTTAACGGCTTTTAATAAAACACATACTTTTTGAAAAGTGTCCTATGGGCTGAGCACCTACCGAACATCTTACGTGCGTGCTATAATTTAGATGAGTGTCCCTCGGTGGTCCACGTGTTAAATACTTGCTCCCCAGGGCAGCAGTGAATTTTGAGAGCAGAGACCTACTGAGAAGTGCTTAGGCCATTGGGGGACCTGCAAAAGGCCCTGGCCTCTTTTTCTCTCATTCTGTCCTTCCTGGTTTGAGATAGGAGCTCTCACTCTGACAAGTGCTGCTGCCTTCGTGAGAGTCCTGAATCAATGGCTCTGATCTTACATTTGAACATCCAAAATCAAGAGCCTGAATAAACCTCTTTTGGCTTCCCAGGTAGCCTGTGCTGAGTATTTTGTCATAGAGCATCACCTCAAGCACACATT